GGCTCAGGCAAATCCTTATAAGCAGACTTTGACACTGCTCTTTAATTCACAGAGGCAGATGAATGTTCCAGTTTTCCCTCCATATAATAATAGAGATTGTAGTTAGTACTAAATTCCACGCTAAGTGAGCTGACTATAACTCATCGCCAGTGTGGAGAAATAAGAGGAGACGAGAGGGGAGGGAGACTGGTGAAAATTACAATCTGTCCTCATCTAAATAGTTGAAAAGTAGCCAACTGTCAGCAGAGTTAGATGAATGAATTTCAGTCAGAAATCTTTGCTCTGCAATTAAGCGCTGCTGCTGGTTCACCACAAATCAAACGCTCTCAATACATGTGTGTAAACAGCTTTACACACATGTGCCAATACTTTATACACTTTTCCAAATGCTTTGGTAATAGATCTGACGCTTTTGCTTATGCCACAAGTTTAGTGAGACTGAGGCTGCTATTGCGTGTGCAGCCTGATGTGTTATTGACATTGTTGGTCCCTTCATGGTGCTAATCAACTCCTGGTTGTGTTAAAGCTGATGTGCCTGTTGGAAAAGGAAGAAGACACTTGCACTGAGAGGTTTCTTGTTGCTTTATTTCCTTCTTGCTAACTGATTTTCTTCACAGCCGTTCTAATTTTCTTTTTTAGGCTCTGTCTCAAGGTCACAAATTAAATCTGACTAGCGGGGTCTAATAATCAAGTTCTTTTCAGTCCCCAGGAGACAGTTATTTATGATGAACGTTGTGTTTTGAATGTGTCCTGTGAGTGCATGTGTCACCTATGTTGCATCCGTAATGTTTTCCAGTTAACTCCTCCCACACTTGCTGCATGCTGCGTGAGGCACCTTTTCTGGTAAGACCCCCTTCTTGAGTTACACCGCCAACAGATGTGGAAAAAAATATATAAATATTTAAATTCTGAAGCTTCTGCAATTCGGGAATCATTATTAACTCCACCAGAACGGCCCTTTGTCACTGATTCATAGATTTTTATGACTCTGGTTCTCTGGTTTGGTGGTCTCAGGATCACCTCTAAGCGTTTGATCATTTTCAGCTCGCACCGGGGCACTTTGCAGCCGAGTGTGAGCATCTAGCATCTCCAAATCTGGGGCCATGGTTCTCAGCTGGACATGGGTGGAGTGCCCACTCTGGGCAAAAGGGAGGAGTTGCTGTCCCAAGTGGGAGAGTTTTTGAGTATCTTGGGGTGTTGTTCACGAGTGAGGGGAGAATGGAACAGGAGACTGTCAAATTGGTGCGGCATCTGCAGCGATGCAGACACTTTACTTGACTGTTGTAGTGAAGACAGTTGATCTATTTTCCCACCTTCATATGTAGCAGCCAAGAGAGTCTGGATGTCTGGGGAGATGCAGCACAGAGTAGAGCTGCAACTCCTCTGTGTGGAAAGGAGCCAGTTGAAGTGGTTTGTGCTTCTGATCACAAGGCATTCTGGACGCCTCATAGGAGATGTGTCTCAGTACTAATGGGAGGTCACCCAGAACATGCTGGAGAGATTATGTCTGTTGGATGGTTTGGGAACGCCCCTGCATCCCTACTGGAGCTAGAATTGTTGGCTGGGGAGAGGAATGTCTAGGCATCTTTCCTGAGAGCGACCCAGGCCCAGATTAACAGAA